ACCCCCCCCCCCCCTCCCAAATTCGTACCAACCCGAGCCCGCTCCACATGGTCCACGAATCGATCTCAATGCGAACAACGACGCACTAGCACGATACACCACGGCCAATCAAAATGGAATGTGCTCTTCGTAAAGAAAACTGAAGTCCACACACTGACATATTTAAACTTTTAAAAAATTCCCAAGAAGAAAATTTAAAAGCAGTAGAAAGATAATCATTTCAATTACAACACACAAAACGCACATAATTTTAAAATAACTGTTACATATTAACAATATTTGCAAAATATCGCCAGTTTCCCCGTGAATAAATCTCGGAAGTAGACTGAGAAATGAAAAATTACGCACTACTTGGCTAACGTATACTTGGTTCCGAAGGATCCAACAGTCACGTTTTAAAACCGCTCATGCTACTAACAAACAATAACACGTCACCACACATAATATATTTCGGCGATCAGATTACAATGATTAATCAATTACAATCGTCACATCAGAATACCTCGCGCAGTAACCAAGTTACTTTAAATTTTCTTAAAATTTACATAAAATACAAAATGCATACGTTTTCAAAGACCTGTCGCCATACAAACCTCCACAACCCTACGCTCAATGACGTCAGAGTTGTCAAAAGTTCGCAAACGCTGCTTCCATCTTCAGGCTGGAATCTGGGGACAGTGCGTTTCTAGGAAACGTGTCTATTTACCTACGAGTCTACACGGCGCCATGACCCACAACGTCGTCTGTCAATCAATATCTACAATAGTCTACTTACGCTCACAGCAAAATTTGAGGGGGGGGGGGTGTTGAAGAACTGACATTTAACTCAATTACAGGATTCTGAATGTGAAAAGTGCTGTTTAATTTCGGGTGTACAAAATACGTCAGATCAAACAAAATGAACCTGAATGAATAGCTGATATCAATACCGAGTATTAATTCTGCAACACTGATAACAGAATCCAAAACAAAGTGATACTTGAAGTGATAACAGAATCTGTGAAAAAGTTTATCACAGGGACTAGCTTAGCATCTAACGATAAAGTATATTGAAACACACGAAAAAGTAAATGAAATTAATTGAAAGTGATCCCAGTGAATTTGTTCTTTAATACACCCTTCATCCTTTCCACGGGCATCTCTTTTGCTTGCTATCATAATTTCAGAATACACAACACATACATTTCAGATTATACTTAAATATATTCAACTTTCGAGGAGATATATCTGGTCAACACTTCACGCAATCACAAGACGAAGTCGGAGTCCCTCTTCCAATACCCTATGGCACTATTTAGCCAACTGGTCATGTGACGTCTGGACTGAGACCTACAGTCAACGTATTCAGAAACCTAACCTTCTTAAGAAGATACTCACGTATCCTGGGATCAAACCATGACGTGGTCCTGGTCTGATGATTGATGAAGTAAACTTCTCCTTCTTGAGTAGTTGCCTGTTCCCATCCTTCGGGAAGAGGGCCCAGGGAACTTCCATCGACTGACTTGGTCCCTAAAAATAAACAAGAAACTCCCCATGTACATAACAGTCCTTAAATTCTCAAACTTTCTCTGTGCAGAATAAGTACAGCTCTAAACAAGAAGTCTGCATCCCTGTATAACATTGGTTTTATTTTATGGTGAGAGAGGAATTGTTAGTGTCCAACCCAGCAGTCAAGTTGGAACATCACCCCTTTCCGGCTGCTTAGTGTCTCCATCATCAGGGGCAAGTACCTCCGAAACGAGGCTTACCTGTCACCAAACTACGACGCGCAACATCCCGGAAGATAACAGTCCTTACACTCGTCGCCATGAAAACCTGAGCATCTCCCATGGTAATGACTCTTCGTGTCTCATACAAGAGGGATGGATGGATGGATGGATTGATTGATTGATTGATTGATTGGCTGAGCGACTAGAGACTTCTTAAGAAGGACTCCGCTCCAAGGAGCGAGTTAATTCTGAACAACGCCTTAAGTCTGCGAACGCAGAGTCCTGGGACGAGGTCGACGGCCTTACGACTCAACAGTAGGCACGCAAGCAAAGCCACACGCTCATACATGCACGAACAGTGTGCCGAGGAAAAATAACGGAGCTTGCTAATTATTACGTAAAGGGCGATTCCGGAAGCCCCATTCACATTTCGCGGTGTCCATTTCGTTCTGGGTGTCGAATTAAATGAGACAAGCTAAATGGTGGATGGCCATGACTGTTCACGATTGCATTAACGACAACTGTACTTTCAAATAAGAAATCACAACACATTCATGACTTACTAGGAAATGGCCCTCGAGAATGGTGGGGGAAATCTATAGCAGTGGTATTCAACCTGGGGTGGGCGTACCCCCGGGGGTACGCTAAGACATCTTAGGAGGTAAGTGAAATTTAAAAAAAATTATTATTTTATGATAAACACTGAATAATCAGTAATGTAATTTATTTAATTTATTTTAGATGTAGATCATATACTATGTACAGCTTGAATTATACACCAACAACTTTGGGGGTACAAAGTTGAGGAGAAATTATATCTGGGGGTACGCGAACAAAAATAGGTTGAATACCAATGGTCTATAGCAACCATGTAGTCATCAACGGCGAACCCGCAAGGCTCAACAATCCCTTACCATGGTAATAACTGAGAACACTAAAAAGTTGTCTTTGTAAGGATACCCACATTCTATCAGACACTGTCTGTGGTCTATTCCTCAAAAGCATGCCAACTGAAATGTGTGCGTTTCTCAATGAAACGGTCTGACATAACACGTGACTATCCTGAGACGGTGCGTGCAACCGGCTAATCAGACATGTCGGTCAGTCGCCAGGCCACCTGGACGGTCTGTTTGTTCATGTAATATCCGTATTTTTTGTCGGTCTGTAAATTGAGTAGGTAACTTATTATTTCTTGTAACAACCTGTATTTTTGTGTTTGTACAGAAAACCCAGCTCTTGAGTAGCCATTTACGCAGTTTGTATATGCAAATTGTATTCTTACGTTTGTTGTAATTCACACTGTCCTACCTTCAACTTCAGACTTTGTCTTCTGAAGTGATACCAGGTAAACAAACACATGTGCTAACGAAAAACTGTCCTCGCAAAAGGGCATACGGGAAAGTCACTGGCGTGTTCTTGACACTTATAGTGATCAAGGTACCATCGCAGACCATTTACCTGGAGACAGTGGGAGAAACCTCACTGTAACCTACATTCCAATCAAATAACATCGCATAATGTAGATCTACCACTGAGATAATGTTCTGGAGCTGCTGAACGGGAGTGTGGATAGGCACTTCCAACCTCCTACGATACCTCATCACTGTCACCTGCCCACGTCAAAGCAAATTACGTGTTTCAAGAACCGGTGAAGACAAATACAAGAATTTTCAATTACGGTACAAGAAAGTTGTCAACAGCTCAAATTATAGTCTTACGGCACGATAGCCCAAACACCAGAAATGACGTAGAAATGATAAGTGTTCTAATTTAAGGTAACGTCCCGTCATTTGCAATAAAGTACCGAGGAAACCCACGAAAGTAAACTCAAAAGAATCATATAAAACCCCGTAATACATTCCGTGGGCGGAGTGTGAAATGGAGCGAAGTGAGATATCAGTGGCGTACTGCAGAAGTTGTATTGCCGACAATTACCTTGTGGTTGGGGCGACGACGAGGAGTGTGGAGATCCGGCAACATTGCTGATGAGGTCTGCTGACGTCTGTTGCTGTGACTGTGCAACCTGCGCGGCGAGTGTCTTGCGAGGGTCTTCCCACGTCGTCGTCCTCGTTATATGGCTGCAACAATAAGAACACGCGTGTTCAGAGAAGATGCGAGGTGTCGACGTCGGTCTCCTTGACTGCAACACCGTGTATTTGCCATCGTTTCGGAGAAGCATACTGCCTCCATCTTCAGACCCGACAAGTCCATACACGTTACAACCCAGAAGACCAATAATGACAACATGTACTGTGTGTGAGATTTCAGGTTCTCAGGGCGGCGAGTATGAACATGAAAGCCTTCTAGGGCAGTGGTATTCAACCTTTTTTGTTCGCGTACCCCCACATATAACCTCTCTTCAACTTTGTACCCCCAAAGTTGTTGGTGTATAATTCAAGTTATACATAGTATATATTTTACATCTAAAATAAATTAAATAAATTACATTACTGATTATTCATAAAATAATGTATTTTTTTTTTAAATTTCACGTACCCCCTAAGATGTCTTCGCGTACCCCCGGGGGTACGCGTACCCCAGGTTGAATACCACTGTTCTAGGGTAATGCGCAGTGTAGTCTGTGACAGAAGTCGACCTCCTTTTCTTCATAACAAGCTTCGAATCTCCTAACGCAGCAGAGGAGTCTCCCCACTGATGTTTACGAAGTGAGATTTCAGGTATTTCACGCAGAATTCTAGCCTTTTAACTGACCATCAATAGCACTAAATGTTTGAACCAGGTTCTCTCGAAAACAGACATTTACCAGAACCCATGATGTATGAAAATCCGGACATTCCAATTCTGAACAGACCCTGCCGAAGAGGTATCCATCGTGGTCACCGAAGGCCCCTCTCACGCTTAACACAGGTACCGCCACCCACAAAGCCCTCGACACGGGGACACCCATTCACAAGGGCCTCGGCACAGGGACCGTTACCCATAGTCCTTTCACGATTCGATGCCAAAGCTGGAACAGGAAATTGGCCGCCAAAACAGATCGCGGAGGCAGACCAGTTGCGTCCCACAATGACGCCGAGCGGCTAATGTTAAAATATGACCGTGACCGGAACTTCCTGCCACATGTTTTCTGTACTGAATCAGATTCTGTTTACAGAAGCTCTCTTTATGGCCAATGATAGGTTTCTGAAAGAAACAGGTCCGGAAATACATCTGTGTCGAACATGATAAAGTCCTCCATTTAAAAGTTTTACTTGGAGAAGTCGCCTCTGTCCGAAACTGGACTGATGTGAATGAAATATGGTATATCGTCAATGACATGGACACAACCGATTATCGAGGCCGATAGATTAACGCTCATGCTTCGTACTCGGGAAGTCCCGGATTCAAATCTTAGCCCGCTAAGTTATAATCATACGGTGTTTCGTCGTTTTCCTCAGTCCACTTAGTCAAATGACGGGATAGTATGCCTATTGTGTCAGGACCGCTTCCTTCCACATCCTCTCCAATTAATTAAACGCCCAATGGTTTGAATCTTATTTAATTAAACGACAGCGTCGAATACAAACCATACGAAGAATAAATATGTTTTAGTTGTCCCTAAGAGATTTTCTTAGGCACTAAGTGAACCGCAAAGCCAATGAAACATTTGGAAAACAAGTATCGGTTACGTCAACTATCGCTGTTTTATTTCAAATGGAAACATTTTAATGCTCGCAATAGTCAGACTCCCATACGCTACGCATTCACAAAAGCCACTTTAAAATATTAAGAATGTTACGCTCTCCCAACTGTGGCAAACCAGGGGCCTTTCTAACCCCCTGAATGTGAGAAACCATGGCTCACACCCACAAAAATATTTTAATATTTAAGGCGGAGGTTCACAACCCGTCGTTATGTGTTTCACTGTGCGGCCCACGTACGACTGTTATAAGCCTGTGTGATGAAAAATATTTACTTGATTTAAAGAAACTTTTTTGTCAGTGTCTGATAATGCCTGTCACTGTGAACAACATTCAGCTCAGGCCTTAATTAAGAAATATGACGCGTCATACTGATAAAACACTTAGTTGGATGTGTATCGATCGCAACAAGATTAAATAAATCTGATATTGGAAGATGACATGCGTCTCACTAATCACCGATTCTGTCAAAGAAAACTAACGAGCAATACGCATTAGTGGGCATAATTTGATAGTATTTTAAATGAACTGCAACATCTCGCAATCACTTATAAACTTATTGATATTATGGGGTGAATGTGAGCTCTAATGAACTGCAACATCTCGCCCTCATTTATAAACTTAAGGCCCGTGAATTGATATTATGGGGTGAATGTGAGCTCAGTTTTGGAAAAAGGTTGAGAAACCCAATTTTAGGGCTTCCAAATCAGGAAACAAAACGAAACCCATCTCATCCTCGACGCTTCTAGACGCAAATCAGGACTGGGCTGGAAGTGGGGGAAAACCAGAGTACGAAATACGAGAATAACCATCAAACAGCATCCAGCCAAATAAATCTAAGCGGCAACAAACAGCCAATTCTAGCGATGACCAAATTTTTACAACCCCTGTGTCACGCCTATCACATGACCCTCAATTCCTCTTCAGCAGCCCCGTGTACGTATCCTGTGATGTGGAGGAGGACAGGGTTCTGGAATGGTTCCCAAACGGACGAACTGCGCAGTAGATTAGCACGCAGCAGCAGGATGTAAACAAACATGGCGGTCTCGTTGGTGCTGGCTTCTTTTTCTCGCATTATTGCATTATCTGGATGTGAGGAAGAAAGGGGGTCCAATTTATTTTTGTGTCAGAGAGACGGGGTGCTGGAGCAGGCAGCGAACGAGGTGAATGGATCGGAGGATTTCTGGCGTTGGCGGCGATTTAAGAATAAAACAGGCGCCGACTGAAGAGACAAATATAGTACGTAGAACTTAAAGACGTGCTCCAGATCACACACGCGCGCTGAAATGAAGCCAATATAATCGCTCAGGATACAAACGTGGAGAAAAATAAATCACTCGCGGGCGAAAGATGGTATACTCAAAGCACAAATAAGCGAAAGTTGTCATCCAGTGTACCACTAACATTTTCGAAACCCATGGTTTTAGGTTTCATATACCCTCACTGATCTTGATGTTCATTTATTGCTGACACCAGCTGGGAAATCATATTACAGGCAGGCTTATCAGACTGTAAAATATTGGATTAAAGTTATTATCTGTCCACATAATACGCAACATTGGTTGCCTTATTGTGATCATTTGCTGTTGTTCTTAAGGGATTTTGGGTCTCGTGTGATAAAATTTATGAATGTGTGTTATTTCTATTAAGAAGCAGTGCTTATGAACATTCTCCAGACCTAAGGACACATTCATCATTCTTTAACGAATCTCGGGCCGCAAGATTATAAAATCAGGGAGATTTAGGTTTTTACGACAATTAGGACGATGGTGATGATCTCTGGGTTTTGCCGCCGTGTAGAATCGTAGGAAAATGTCAACGTTTTGAAGAAATACATTAGCTTCATCTTCAGAGCTGGATGCCAACGTTTCGAAGAAACATGCTGTCTTCATCTCCAGACCCGAAGATGGAGAAAGTATTTTTCTCCGAAACGCTGGCATCCAGCTCTGAAGATGAAGCTAATGTATTTCTTCAAAACGTTGACATTTTCCTACGATTCTACACGGCGGCAAAACCCAGTACCACGACAACGGTTAGTACACCAATATACGTAGGATATGTCCATTGATAGACAAACATTTCGGGAGTTGGCGTCTTCAGACAATTGTTTCTCGTTAAACCGACAGGCTTTCCATAATATTTTTATTTTAAGAACAGTGGTACGGATGGGATCGAACCCGGAGCCCTTTCAACGTTACACATGTAATCTAATCAGACAACGACCAATCACCTCAAAACAGTGGCAGAGTCGAATGTCGAAACGTCGTGTACATCAATACACAACAGAAAAAGAACGAACGTCAAACTGATTTGAAGCCCAATTTCGTCTAAATAATAACACAGAAAGAAAAACACAACATATCAACAGGACAGAGATCAACTGGTAAATGCAGTTCAAGGAAATAATAGCTGTTTATTCTGAGAATCGTTCGGAAACCCATATATATATATACACACACTGTGTATGAAGTACAGAGTTAGAAACTGGATCTTTAAATATTATTTAGATAAGCTTCGTCTTCGACGGGTTAACAATTTTTCACAAAACTTACAAAAATCGGAAACTTGCAAAAAAGAAAATCACGAAAAAATTACAGAAGCGAATGAGTCAAATTATAGGATAAGAAACGTTACAGGGAAGCTCTGATCCAATTCTGGGACTACGCACGCAAGCAAGCAAGCACCGTGATTTAAAAATAGGTCCTATCAAACGTTCGCTGATCCACGCCTCCATAACATTACAGATGATGGTCCAGACATGAAGAGAATGCCTTGGTGTTCGATGCGGGCGAGTCTGTTCTTTGTCCTCGTCCTAAAATAATTGACAGATACACGGGTATCTTCAACAAGAAACGGTAAGAAGAATTCGAAGATGGCACCCACCAAACGCAAATCGATATCGGATCCCACACAAAGATTTTTACGAGCATCGATGTCGGACTTATGGGTTGTAACGCCGTGTGGACTTGCATGTAGATATCGACGTCTCGGAGGAACATACTGCCTCCGCCTTCAGATATAAATACGTAGGCATTATGTTCCTCCCAAACGCCGGTATCTACCAATAAGTCCACACAGCAATGCAACCCTGAAGACCAACATCGATGTCTTTACCGCTGTTAGAACCTCAAATATCATCATTAGGGTATTTTAAAAATACCGACGCATATAAGCGCGCACACACACGACGTAACTAAAAGCTAGTTAAAGTTTCAGGGATAAAATTAATTTAAGTCAAATAATTAGACAATTTAAATACGTAAAATGTCAGATGTCACTTCACACAGCTGAAAATACTAAAATATGTGGCGCTTTGCCTCCATGGCCAAGGCGTCTTCAGTCCCTTCACACTATTGCCGGTTCAGTAATCTAATAACAAGTAACACTTATTAAAAGACGACGTATTGCAGAAATAGCTGCTACATTATGTTCATCAG